GCATCAAAGATTGAACTGTTGGGGAAGTATCTGTCTTTTAATATTCTGCTAACAAGAAGAGAAGGCTGGGAAGTAATTCTCCACAACTGTTTACAGATTAAAGCCTTATTGAAATTTTTCAGATCCAAAAATCCCAAGCCTCCCTCATATTTGGGTAAGGAAAGAGCAGACCAAGATTTCCAATGTAAACCAGCGTCCTGATATTCTCCCTTGCTCCACCAAAAGTTGGAGCATCTTTTTGAAATCTCATAGCAAAGAGAAGAGGGTAAAACAAAGCAAGACATAGAAAAGGTGGGAAGAGCTTGCAACACTTCTTTAATAAGAACTTCTTTACCTGCTGGAGACAGCAGTCTTGCTTTCCAGCTTTGAAGTTTGTTTTGAACTGAATCAACAATGTATTGAAAAGCCTCTTTTTTTGATTTGCCTATGCCCAAAGGCAACCCCAAATACCTTGTTGATCTGTGAGCTGGGATGCCTTGCAAAGCTGAGCAGATTCTGATTTGCAATGGAATATGAGTGCTTTTACTGAAAAAAAAAGGCAGACTTGTGCAGATTAACTTGTTGCCCTGTGAACAATCTGTATTTTTCCAGTAAATTCAAGAGAACTGTAGCCTGCCCAACATCAGCTTTGCCAAAGAATAATGAGTCATCCGCAAATAAGAGGTGTGAAATGGGGGGGGGTCATTTTTGGAGAGTTTCATACCCAAGAGTTGACCAGAGTTTAAAGCCGCAGTCACCAAAGCAGATAACAACTCAGCAACTATAATAAAGAGATAAGGGGACAGAGGGTTCCCTTGTCTAATGCCCCTTGAAGGATGAACAAGTCCACTTACTGAACCATTCACTTTAAAGGAATAGGAGCAAGATGTTATACAGACCATGATCAGATTAACAAAAGCAGGAGAAAAGCCCATTTGCAACATGATTTTCTTAACACAGAGCCATTGCACCATGTCAAAAGCCTTAACCAGATCCAATTTAATAGCCATAAAGTGATTCTTACCAGAGTTGTGTCTGTTAATGAAGTGAAAGGCTTATTGAGCTATGATAACATTGTCTAAGAGTTGCCTTCCATTTATGAATGCAGACTGAAAGTCACTTATACAGGAGTGCAGACATGATTTGAGTCTCAAAGCCAACAATTTAGATAGAACTTTATAAACCACAGTACAAAGGCTTATTGGCCTGAATTGAGAAATAGAATCAGGATTGACACATTTTGGAATGAGAGTCACTATTGTATGATTCCAATATTTCAGCAATTGACCATTTTCAAAGAAGCTCTGAATAGCATATATAAGATCGTCTTTGATGAGACTCCAAAATTTCTGATAAAAAATAGCTGTCATACCGTCTTCCACTGGAGTCTTATCTGGATCAAGGCTGAAAAGAGAGGCTTTTATTTATTCCTCTTGAACCGGCTTGAGGAGGTCCTGGTTCATATCATCAGAGATCGAGGGAGTAATTAGTTGCAGGATACTCTCACCTCCCCATGATCCTTCTGAAGAGAAGAGGTTGGCATAGAAACTTGAGATGTGAGATTGAATTTCCTGCTGAGTTAAACGTTACCTGCCCTGATGAGTTATCAATCTAGAAATTGCATTCTGCCTTCTCCTTTGGAGAGTGTAGGCATGAAAAAGACTTGTATTGTTGTTACCATCTTTAAGCCATTTGATTTTTGCCTTCTGCTGCCAATATAATTCTTCAGTGCGGTGAGCCTTATCAAGATCAGATTTAGTTGAAATCCACTCATCCCAGTTATCAGCAAGCTTGGCATTTTTCAAAAGTTCCAGTTTAGCAGATAGGTGCTCAATTTTTGATTGGTTCTCAGTTTTGAATTTAGCACTCCATCTGATGAGAGCTTGTCTTGTTAACTTGATCGTCTCTTTAAGGATAAAAAAAGGAGTACCTGAGCACTTCTGAACCCAAGCTGTCTTTACCACATCTTTAATGTCATCTCTGAGCAACCAACGTTTATCGAAGTGGAATCGTCGGTGGCTTTTCTGTGAGGGAGAGCCTGTCTTGAGAAGAAGGAGAGAATGGTTTGAAGCACTTCGGGCAAGAGTTGAAATGGATGCATTGGGAAAGAGCTGGTGCCAATCTATAGAGCCAAAACCCCTGTCAAGTTTTTCTTGAATAAGCCCTTCAGAGAACCGATGATTGCACCATGTGAATTGAAAGCCATCCATCTTAATTTCTTCCATAGACATTGAGTTAATGAACTCATTAAACCCAGCAAGACTCCTGTCACTTCTTGGAATGCCTCCAATTTTTTCAGTGTTGGAGCAAATATCGTTCCAGTCTCCTATTATGGACCAGTTATCTTGCCATTTACTTTTCTCTTCTTCGAGTAATTGCCATTGATAAGCTCTTATTGAAGCACAAGGACTGAGATAAACAAAAACTGCCCAACTTAGACCCCCATTCTTCAGAGAATATTCAACAGCTATGAAACAAGGTTGACACACCGTCTGAGTAATGGTAATATCAGAAGACCAAAGGAGAAGCAAACCACCACTTAGACCAACCGGATCAACCTTCAAGTGTCTATCTACAAAACCCAACTTGCGAACCACAATTTGAACAAAAGAAGAGGAATTTTTAGTTTCAGAGAGAAAGAAGAAAGCGGGGTGGTGAGATCTAAATATCTCTTTGATTTGGGAAACCGTCGAGGGCCCACCCAGTCCTCGACAGTTCCACACCGCGGCTAACATTGATCACTTGGGCGCCACTTCAGGCTGGCCGCCTCCACCTTATTCGATTCAGATCTCAGCTTCTTATTAACTTCGGCATTGCTCAACATATCATCAGAGTCAACTATTTTTGCAGATACTTCGGTAATGGATCTTTTTCCAGACACCGGTGCTATAATAAGATCCTTGTAGTCAGTTAGTCTAGATAATCTACCATCCCTGCGAGGAGCTCTTTTCCATGTTTTGTAACAAGAAGGGGCCTGTTCACCATATAATCAATATTTAATTCCTAAACATTTAGATGACGACCACTCGTCAACACTATTTATAATTTTATTTTTTAATTAATATTATTAAATAATTTAAGTTTTATAATGGAAATAAATATAATTATTCATCTATTTTGTATGTACAATATAAGTAATAAATCTAAACTCATAAAGATATGATTAATGTGATTCATTATATATAAAGAATTGGTAATAAATAAAAAAAATTATTATCTTTTAAATGTACTTATAATTTTAGTTAGTATATGTTTTATAATTTCAAAATAAAGAGCAAAAAGAAATATTGAAAAAAAAAAATTGTCTTATAAACCATATATAGAATAAGAAATGCAACAACTAACTAGTACAACGCCCGTGTATCAGACGGGTGTTTGCTAATTTTTTCTTAAAATATAAAATTAATGAGAAAAATAGTTGAAAATTTAAATACCTTTTATAAAAATATATATGATTATATATTTAGTATGACATTTTTTTATTTGTGTGACTTACTTGTGTTATATTATAATAATTTTTTTAACTTAGAACGTATAACTACATTAAACATAATATATAAATTGAGAAATAATTTTATATTTATAATGAATTTGAATAAATATTATTATTTTTTATTATTATAAATATAAATATAATTTATTTATTTAATATTACAATATGGATGTCAAATCGGTGATCATCAAAAGATGATTAATTTGATATATTATATATGTAAAATCGGTAAGAAATACAAAAGTTATCAACTTTTAAAATACATTTACAATTCAATAGCTAATTAAAGGAAGCAAATCAAAAGTCAGGGATATATTAGACACTTAGTGTCTTGATATTAAAATACCTAAGTTAACTAAGTAGTATTTATAGAATGTCCGAACCTAGATTATTAATTATTAATATATTAATATTATTTGTCCAAACCTAATTACGAAGCATGATTTTTCGCCAAATAGGATTCTGAAACACCAGAAAGCAGCCACGTAAACTCAACTCATTCGATAATTATATGGAAGGGTGATTTCTTCAAAAAATCATAAACATCACGTATATTATTGTATATTTTGAAATCTCCAACAATCGCGGCGCAAAGCAGGGAATCACTCTTTTCATACTGACCGATGCTTCCATGCAAGTGGAAAAAAATAAAAAAATAAAAAAAAAAACTTTAATGTGATATTTTCATACCAAAGAAATGTGGAAATATCATTTAATAACACTATAATTACATTAATTATTAATTGTCACATTATGATAAATTTAATTCGTAAATTATACAATTATTTGTCAAATGTCATGATCATGTTTATAAAAGATTTGTCATCGTAAAACGAAAGGAAAGTAAGTTAAAAGGCTCCCTACAAAATCTAATTAAATGTTAAACAGAAGATTTTTCAGAGGACAATAAATATCAAATCGATTTTTGGCTTGTCTGCCACAACTGTCCCAGCAATCGTTTTCTGTTCCAAAGCATAATAACAACCAAATTCTTTTAATTTAAAATACTGAAAAAGTCCCCCAAAAAAAAAAAATATATAAAAAAAATAAAAACTCAACTTACTATCATTTGGTCAAACGGATTAATTTGCACGTAAATGGGTTCACGCCCATCGTAACTTTTTTTTCCCCCCAAATAATTCTTTTCCGGCCCCTTTTGTTTTGTTCTCTCCAATATGCAATCATAGGAAAATTCAAACTGAAGATAATTTTCTTCAATAGAGCCAACATTTTATATCAAATAAGTAAATCATACAATTTTAATAAAATTATTAATATTTATTTAAGTAGTCGAAAAATATGATATTCATATACAATAAGTAAATCATACAGTACTAATAAAATTATTAATATTTATTTAAGTAATGGGAGAATATGATATGATTTACTTGTTGTATATAGAAGGTTGGTTGCACTCTGAAACCAACTGTTGGCTTAAAATGTGGGGGTGCGTGTACTCCGGGCTAAATATCATATCACTTCGTCAGCCGACGTTTTTAGCGTGTCCGGTCGGCGGTGCTCGGCGCTAATGAGGGCGATTGCTCATGAGTGGCCCAATGTGGTGAAGGGTGCACGTTGGCTTGTAGGTAATGGCAGGTCCGCGCGGTTTTGGCTGGACCCATGGTTGGGATCGTTAGGCCCTCTAAGCTCGATCGTTGTTAACGTCCCGCCCTCAGAATTCTGTAATGCGACGGTGGCCGAGTTGGTTAGCGGCTCCGGAGAATGGCGGTGGGACCTGCTTCATGGTCTGCTCCCGGCGTCCATATTAATACGTCTCGCAGCGACTCTACCCCCACGAGAAATGGAGGACTCCAATCGGCTGGTTTGGGGTTTCTCTCCCGACGGCCGCTTCACCATGAAATCAGCCTATAATTCCCTTTTACAAAGCGTGAACGAGCCCCAATTGCCACTGTGGAAGATTATTTGGCGTGTCATGGCGCCACAAAGGGTTCGAATTTTTTATGGCTTGCTAGCAACGAGCGGTTGCTTACCAATGTTGAGCGAGTTCGGCAGCATCTTTCAAGATGAGGGCTGCGATTTTTGTGGAGGTCGTGAGATGATACTCCATGTCTTGCGTGATTGTACTTTTGTGAAGAACTTATGGAAACGGCTGGTGCCCACGGGCCTTGGGGAGGACTTTTTCGCACTGCCCCTTCGGAGGTGGCTTACACAAAATCTCGCGAAGTCAAGGCTAGGCTCTTGTTCCAATTGGGGCGGTCTATTCTCGGTTGTGACCTGGCGAGCGTGGGCTTGGAGGAATGACCGCCTATGTAACGGGCGATCCCTTGGGTGTGAGGAGCGTCGAGTGGAGGTGTTGTCCCGGGCTGCGAGCTGCCGCCGTGCGGCCGAGGCCCTCGCTAAGGCCGGAGCAGTCATGCACCGGTATGATACACGTTTGATATCTTGGTCACCTCAGTAATGCAGGTGGCCTTCTACGTAACGAGTGGGGTGGTTGGCTTGCGGGTTTCCTCATGAATATCGGGCATTGCACCATCACTGGGGCCAAACTACGGGGTCTCTTACAGGGGCTTAAACTTGCATGAGATCGGGGCTTTCGCCAAGTTAGGGCGGAGGTAGATAGCCAGTGTGTCTTGCAGTTAATTTATGGCACTGGTCCCGTTCCTATGGCGCACGAGGCCTTAGTCAACGCCATTAGATATTTCCTCCAGAAGGAGTGGACAATCCATCTTCAACAGGTGCATAGAGAGGCGAATTTTGCTGTTGGTCATTTGGCGAGCCTAGCGTCTGCGATTCCAATGGGTCTTCATGTGCTAGCGCCGCTTACTTTTCTAGCCATAACAGTGCTATGGCCTTAGCGGCGCTATGGCCTTGGCAGCTTCCAAAATTTCCAAGTTCTGAACTCGTGAGCCCTCGTCTAGCATTTCTCGGGTACTGCCCGAACTGTAAACTCAGTCTCCGCATGCTTAAGTCGTACGGACCAGTGTTGAACTCCTAAGAACCGGAACCGCATATCACTTTCATCATCTGCAACCTGAAAACCACCACAAACGAACGAACACAAAAACACGAGAAAATAGGGAGAAAAACCAAGATAATACTAAACACACCAAAATAATACTAAAACACGAGAATCGACAAAATGAACCGGAAATACCTAAGAAAAGACCTAAAACGGGGGAAACGACATACAAAATAGCAACGAAAATAGCAACAAAAACGGGACAAACACACGCCACCCCCTACTTTGGGGGATTGGCTCGAACATGATTTGATCGGTGTTTCTTATCCCCGCTAAGTTTTAGTCTAGACTTAGGCCTCCGGTCTCCTTCCTTGAACCAAAAAAAAAAAAAAA